GTATGAAATGGCTATTTTCTATAGTGTTGAGTTGATTTATTTTTGTTGAGCTGATCATAAGCATGTGCGCCAGTAGGAGCCGCATGCACATTCCTGATTTAGCCACAACGTAGTAGACGGAAAGACTGGGAACGTGGCTGAAGTCAAGTCACGGGGAGGGAGCAGAGCATGTGCAACTTTGTCCGTACACTTTGTTACATAGGTGCTTCTATTTGATTTTATATTCGTCCATAATGGGTTACTAACAAATGAACACTTTGGTTTTTCTCCGGGTAAAGAAAGGGCTGCTGCAGTTGTTAGTTGTCACAAGTTTGTCGCATCACATTAATGTGGCCAGCAGTGTTCATATGTTATCTTCAAAAACTTGTCGTGCCTTAGTCTAGCCAAGTATGTAATGTAGCAGGATGCTTTTGAATACCTAATACAAGGAATTTCAGCTTAATTATCCTAGTATTATTTCAAGTCGAATTTCATCATGTCTTGCTTTTTCCTACTTGCGTGTGCTTGGCAGCTCTTTTCGAGCCATGCCAATTTCAGCCCCAAGTATCAGCATTTGAATCATATGCTACAAAAAAAATCTTGCATTCCTTTGTAGACTTGGATGCTTATTATTATAGCGAATACATTGGTGATATAATTGGTGGCATTCAGTTTGTAGGCACTCAAAACTCTACGTAGTTGGATTTCAGGTTGCCACAATGCTTTGAACAGAGACTGTCTTCAATATTTTAAGCTGCATATAGTTGGATTTGTGTTTGTTTCAGTGACTGTTAGAAGAAGACACGAAATGCTTCAGAGGCATTTAGTAAAGTATTCTGTTAATACCATGATATCCTTAACAAATACCTAGTTATTAGTCTCCTTGTTGATCAGTTACTTATATAAAGACATACTTTTTGGCTTGAGAATTACCTTTGTTTTATTCGTCACTCTACTATTTATTTATCTAGTAACATTATAACAAGAAATATATAGAAATACCGTGTATATATAATGCCAGTATCTTGTCATATAGTTGTACTGATAATTGGAGGCCAGAGTCAGCTCTGGTTCAATTATTAGTGGGTTGTCTCAGTCAAAGAGGATTGGCTCTCGGAGATAACCGATTGTCCATGCTCTTTTTTCTCATCACATTATTTAATTTAATTCAATGCCATGCTTGCTGCAATGCTGGTTTCTATACAAAAGTATTATTTAGGGAAGCTGATAGCATGTTTGTTACTTTCAGACATCCAGCAGTTCATTTATTTGTACCATTTTACAGAATATGCATTCTATTTGCAAATCTTTCTGCGGGGTGCATGCATTCTACCATGAACTGGAACTTGCAGCAGAATGTTTGCATTTAATTTTTTTATTTTCAAATCGTGATCTTGATGAACTGTATATAATGTGTGATATGGATGTTGCACAGAAGGAACTTCCTCTGGTGTTAGGAAATCTCACTGAAAAACAGGTGTAGCCTATCTGGTCTGTTGAAAGTAGTAGTAATTACAAGACATACTGAAGAAAAAACTAGTAGTATAGCCCGCTGGTTCAAAACAATTCTGTTTCTTCCCATGGTCATGCACCATCGGTTCCTAGGGCAGCTCCCCAAAGTAGGCTACCACAAAAAGGAATTTGTGTGAGATGAGAAATCATCTATCTTGCAACCAAAGTTAGTATCATTCATTTCTCTAAAATGAAATGTGTCAAACATTGCCTGAATGAAACAAGCAACTGTCAACCATTTTATTTCTGGAGCAAAAGGGCCCGTTACATTTTCAGCAGACGTTTTGAATGCTTAACAACATTCGGAAAAAGGGAAACGGTAGCGACAATGCAGTCTTTCTCAGTCGAATAACTATCACAAACCACAATTAAGATTATTACAGCATCCATATGGCAAGCAATCCAAGGCGCACCACCTCCACTTGCAGTTGTTTCAGGGTAATTTGGGGTGCGTTTGGTTTATTAGCTATAGCCACGCTGGGCTAGGTCATGTGTTTGGTAGCGCTAAAATAAACTCGTTTTAAGGAGCTAGCTAGTCTGGCCTGGCAAGAAATACCTTGCTCAGCAGGGAGAGCCTATTCGGCTCGCGCTCAACGGCAAAATCGAATTGTGAGAAAAAAATGACGCAACTGCAGTAAACGAAACGGAGGCAAGTATTGACACGAGATGCATCTAAAGGGGAACATGGGTATATCATGCACGGTAATAGGTGGTTCGGCATGGTATAGCCGTTAACAAAAATATGTTAATTCAGTATGTACCAGAAATGTTGCACGAACGAAGATTTGGGAATCAGATCAGAGAACAAGCGTGTATCTGCTCTATCAAAGTATATAGAAAGAGAGAACACAGAAGAACAAAAATTACGCGTCACGACATAGAACCAGAGCATGCCACACCAGTTCAGAAAAGAGAAAAAAAAACCTTTGCCCACCCAACCCTATCACCCAAATACTGATCTAGGTATCCGCGGAGCCTCCGTACCTCCATATTTAAACCAGCGACGAGGCCACCGGAGCTCACGCGCATCAGTCCTCGGAATGATTGCGCCCCCAGATCCACGTGAGCTAGGAGAAGTATGGAATGGCACGCCGTTGCCGCGACGCCTCGCCCGAGGCAGCTGCCTTCATGCCGGACAACGACGATATGCTCCGGGAGATTCTCCTCCACCTCCGGCCGCAACCGTCCTCCCTCCCGCGCGCCTCTGTCGTCTGTAGCCGCTATCGAGGCCTCGAGGATGTCGGACAAAATGGGTTCCTAACTTTTGATAGCTGAAAGGCATGTTCTTTATCTTTACAAAATGATCCTAGGACTAGCAGCACAATAGCAGAGAGACACCCCGATTCATTCCTACAAAGCCCCGTTTGATTTCAGATTGCTTGATATCATATCGTCGGCAGCTAAGAACAGTGGAAGAAGAAAAGTATGAGCCACCTCCACCCCGGCGGCCGTCGCAGCGCACGCCTCCGTTCCCAGATCCACGCGGGCGACGAGGGCGCCGGGCTGGCGCACCCACGACATGAGGCTGGCGCCGGAGTGGCCAGCCACCGCCGCAGCACGCGCCGGAGCACCCAGATCCAGGCGAGCGAGGTGGGCGAACGAGCGACCCGCCGCAGCCGCGGTAAGCGCCTCCGCCCCCAGACTCACGCGAGCGAGGTGGGCGACGACGCCTCGCCGGAGCCGCCCGCCTCCCCGCTTGAAGATGAGGATCTCCTGAGGGAGATCCTGCTCCGCCTCCCCTTGGACCTTCACTCACTCTCCCGCGCATCCGCCGTCTGCAAGCCGTGGCGAGGCATCGTCGTCGATCAAAAGTTCGTCCACCGGTTCTATACACGCCATCGTAAGCCGCCCCTCCTCGGATTCTTCCAGCACGGCGACCATGAGGAGATCAGCTTCACCCCCGCTCCCGACCGCATCCTACCCGGGAGCTTCTCCCTTGAACAACGCTCCAGCAACTCCGAGGTTAGCGAGGTGCTGGATTCCCGCCACGGCCGCGTCCTCCTCACCAGCTGGGACATCGTCGACGGCTGGGTGCGTGAAGAGGTTGTTGTGTGTGATCCTATCACCAGCAAGCAGCAGCATCGCGTGCCCATTCCGCTGGTGTTTAAGAGAATTGGTGGCTTGGTCAACGGGGCGGTGTTTTGCGCCGCCCCGGCCCATGATCACGTCCATGGCAGCTGCCACTCATGCCCTTTCAAGGTGGTCTTGTTGTCCTACAGAAAATGTAAGCATCCATACGCCTGCGTTTATTCCTCCGAGACTGGCACATGGAGCAATATCATCTCAACAGAGGCTCCAGATGATACTCCTTTTGGTGTTTCTCCTAGCACCCTTATAGGTAATGCCCTTTACTGGCCGGCTAAGGATAAGGGAGACAGCATTCTTCAGTTTGATTTGGGCGCACAAAACCTTGCCGTCATCAAGGGGCCTCCTGGTATGAATGTGAATGATTTCGACAACTTCCATATCATTCAGGCAGAGGATGGCGCTGTTGGTCTTGCTGCGTTGTCTCACCTTGAGCTTCAAATGTGGGAGAGGAAGGTTGATTGTCAAGGTGTTGCCATATGGTTGTTGCAGAAGACTGTTTCATTGCGTAAACTTCTTAAGGTCCCTCCTCGGACTGAGCAGAGTTATGAATCGCTCAAAGTGGTGGGGTATGATGAGGATAATAATGTAATCTTATTAGCTGGGCACGACGGTGTCTATAGGGTTCAGCCCAAGTTATTGGAAGCCAGGATACTTAATGGAACCGGTTCTACACATTATTGTTATACTTTTACGAGTTTCTATCCACTAGGTGATTGCTCATCCTTGGTCTTTATATCTTAGGGGTAACCCAATTTAGTTATGTTCTTTACATGATTTCTCGCATACAGTTATTTTGATTCTTAAATGTCCACTTACAACTTAAACTTAGTAAAAAATTTCCTGTGATAAAACTTAGTTATTAATTGCACCTTTGCTAGATGTACGAATTTATCGCCATATATATTACTTTATTATATGTTATGTTTCCATGTGCTTGTATTATAAGATACCAAATCAAATGTCGAATGATTAGCTTAGTTGGTTAGTTTCAGCGCCCTAGCTAGTTTATCTATTATTATTATTATCTCTGTTAAATTCATGATTTCTTTAAATAATTTCCGTTTCTCATTTGTTCATGACCCCTTCTTTAGGTGATTTTTATGTTTGTAGCACATAGAAATATATTGCATTTCTTGTCTTGGAATGCATTCATTTAAAGCTGAATAGCCAATAACACTTTTGCTTCTAGAGTTTGTTTTGGCATAATTTTGTCTACTTGACATTACGATGAATGAGTTCACATGAGTAAATTTACAGGTCATGTTTTTCTCCTTACAAGCTAAATTCTCCATTATGAGGTAGCTAAGTATGCTGCTTGTATGAATGTTCCTTGCATTTTACACCGGATGTGGTTTTGTTTATCTATTGCTAGTGTCAAGAGTGACTTATAACACATCTGTAGATATAAGTTATGTTGGCAAATTATTTTGCTCAAATTATATTTCTCAGCTCATCTTTCTAACTCTCTTATGTTGCCTTCTCCAATCCATCTGTCCTTATTGTGGAACTGGTGTTAACTGTCGGAGTTTTTATGCTTCTAGGCAGAACCATTGACGGTGGAACCAATGGAGCTGAAAATGTCAGGATGACTCTGGTTTGATGTGCAAATTTTCTGAAATGAGTCAACAGGTAAGAAGGTCTTCTTAATATAGTTTGTGAGATTTGGACTGTTTGATTTTCTCTTTGGAGGATATATGGTGGCCAGTGTGGGTACCATGCACCCTCAAGCTACTGTCCATTTGGCTATAAAGATTAGCACATGCTGATAACACAGCGAAACAATTGAAATGGAGGCGACGCTAATTAGAAAACGACTCATGTTGGATCATAAATGATATGCAGATGGTCCACATGTTGTATGCCCAAAGTTCTCCCTTTGGTTTTGCTGTTTGATAATTTCTAAGTTGAAAATAACATATTACTAGCCCATTTCGCTATTACAAACATCACTCACCTCATTCAATTTCATCACCTATATTTTTTGTCAAAAGACTAAAGGGTTTATTTTATTTTCATATGATATGGCTCTTCCGTTTTTATGAGGAGATATGATATAGCTCTACTTTATGTTTCTGAGTTGATCATGAGTTTGTACATACGCCTTGTTAATACGCTGTTACATACTCGTAGATGCTACTATTAGGTTTTCTCTGTATCTGCATCAGGTTACTAAGAAGGGATGCTGCAGTTGTTAGTTGTCGCCAAGTTTGTTGCATCGCATCCATGTGTCCGCAGTGTTTATATGTTATCTGAAAAACTTGTTGTGTGTGCACTTTAGTCTAGGCAAGTATGTATTGTATTATGCTTTTGAATACCTAATCCGGGGAACTTCAGCTTAATTATCCCATTATTATTTCGAGTCGGATTTCATGCTGTCATGCTTTTTCTACATGTGTGTGCTTGGCAGTTCTTTTGGTCAGCCAGGAGAGTTTCTTCCCTAAGTATCAGTTAGACTTGTATGTTTGTGTGTGCTCCTCTGATGTGGTTTGAAAAGAATGGCATCCCAATGCCAGTAAGTTGCTCTAGAATTTTTACAACTTTTGCATCTTTTGCATTTCAGAGAGTTATATCAAATCAGATGTGGACAGATTTGCCCAAAACAAGCACTTGTAGGCACTGTCTCGGTCTCAGCCTACAAGTTATTTTGACATTTACACAACTGAAATTATTGTTGTAGAAATTTAATTGGCAGAGACTAGATTTTTCTTGCCCTGGGAGTGAGATTGGTACTGCTAGCCAGTACTTTGTAGTTGTTCATATGCTTTTCCAGCGATATGTACATATCTAAGTAATTGTCGTTCTGTTAGACCATAATGAAAACACAATTTCTGTTTTTTCTTGAAGACGATAGAATTGAATTTCTTTTTCAGATTACTTCCGTGTAAATGGATCCCGTTTGGTCATTCTTTGTTAAAGAGAAATGATCACTATGAGTCAGACTCATTAGAATTGGATCCATTCAAAATAGCGAGGAGCCAGAGGGTTCTCCATTCTCGCAGCAGTTGTTTACTGCCAAAGATGTGGGACTGAACGGCAGCGAGTGAGGTTGCGTTCTTAGCTTGTAATTTTCTGGTGGACTTCTAGGGCATTTCAATTTTTTTTACACGGCAACAATGTGGTCGGCACTGTTTATATGTTAGTATCTAAAAAATTATCATGCTACTCTAGTCTAATGTAGCAAGATGCTTTTGAACACCTATTCCTGGGAATTTCAGCTTTCCGAGTATCGTTTCAAGTCGGATTTTGGTACATCTTGTTTTTCTACATGTTTGTGGTTGGCAGCTTTTCTTTTCGACAATGAGTGTTTCTTGCCCAAGTATCTAGAGCTATGTGTTTGTTTGTGTGTGCTTGGCAGCTGTGGTATGAAAAGCATGCCGTCGATGTTCGATCTAATGTGGTCCTGATCCATCAGTGCTCTTCTTTTCCCTTGTGCTTAATAGTAGGAAATTACTATAGTGCATTGTCGGATATGTGACTGGAGAGTGTGCAAAATGCTATTTGGTCTGAACTAACAGGATGACAGGAAATTGCTATAGAATGTGTTACAGAGTGGCATGTTGGGTGCGGAAAGTCCACGTGTTCAGACATTTTAGCAGAAAGGCCGAACAGTGGTTTGAATGGTAGGGAATTATAGCCAGTCTGCTGCACCATGTTGATCCTGTAGTGATGCCATGTAATCTTGCTTATCCGAACAAAGTCTCGTGACCCGTAATTAAGAACGGATTCGGTTTCAGTATGTACTCAAGCCAACTTTGTAGACGGAGGACTGCCATGAGAGGCACGCACACATCTACCATTTTCAGTACGCTGTTGCGTGCTAGTTCAAAAGAAGAGTAGGATTATTTTTTGGGCATATTTGCTAAAGCAGTTTATACAAAGGGTGAATAATGACCAGGGTGAGCAGCTTCTACTGACAGAAAACATCTCTACAGCTTTTTGAAAGATGCAAAAGCGTTTCCTGCGATGATAACAGAAAGCAAACTAGTAGGCTGCACAATCTTTCCGGATTTCTCTTCCAGGTATATCGTTTAAAATATTATAGTAGCCTCATGAAGCACATATATCGTTTAAATAGTGCAACGCATGTTCCGTCAGTTGGACATGCACCATCAGGTTCTTGCCGTCGACGACGTCAGTTCCTTGGATAGCTTCTGTTCCAAGTAGAGTATCTGTTTTGCACAAATTAGAATCCAACTTGAATCTGCAGCGGTGAAACACCTCGCCCTCCACTTGAATGTTTCACTCGATTCAGTAGCAGCACCCTGCCTTGTCGCCGCCCATAATACTAACGCCCAATGGTGGAATTTTTTTTTAACTTGCCTTATGATCAAACTTTGCATGATTCATTTGTACGTAACTATACATATTGCCTGAAACCAACCAAGCAGACATGCGCACACTTGGCAAAAGGAATTTGCAGTTTGTGCAAAAGCTTGAAAACAACTGCTCCATCAGATGCTGGAAATCATGTGGGATAAGAAAATACATGTTGGCATGAACATAGCAGCTGCAACTCTACATCTGTCCAATCGAATAGGCATAACCTGTTGCGAGAGGGAGGAGAGGTCTGTATCTAATGTAAGGCTATGCCGGCGATGCTGTTGATTTCTTGCCAAGAGGCGACGATTCCACAAATTGTTGTTGTGAGCTAAAGGGCGGTGATTCTCGAGTGTATGACCGAGAATGATTCTCCAGCGAGCGAGCTGCGGTTGGGCTCCGATTGGGAGGATCCCCACACAGTGGTTCTGAATTTCCTATGGACATGCACATTTACCACTGATTTGAACTATCATTTTTCATCATTGTTCGCCGATGCAGGCTGCTCCTGAGCGAAGTGATTTTTTGGGGGGATGAGAAAATACAGTGTATAGCCCGTGATATTCCGACGTACCTAGTACGTAGTAGTATATTATACTATAGGAAACAAAAAATCCTAACTAGAAGAAGACTTTCGACCACATTGGAGAAAGAGCTCGAGGTAATATGCAGGGATGGTCTCAACGTAATTTTGCTTGTGCAGGGAGAGAGATTTTGCTCAAGTCTATTATCCAAGCTATCCCTACGTTCAACATGTCATGTTTTCGGCTCACGAAGAAAGTGTGTAAGAAATATACCTCAAGTATGGCTAAATATTGGTGGAGTAGCTCTCTGGATAAAAGGTCTTTGCACTGGATTTCCTGGAAGGCACTTGCATCTCCAAAATTCAAAGGTGGAATGTGATTTCGCAACATGGAACTTTTCAATTTAGCGCTTCTTGCTAAGCATGGTTGGAGGTTCATGGTTAGTCTTGATCCCTTGTGTGCGCGTGTCATGAAGGGTCAGTACTTCCCGGATACAAATTTCATGCAAGCTACAGTTCCGCAAATCTGCCTCTCCTATTTGGCGAGCGATTGTAGCAGGACGGGAGGCTCTTCAGGTGGGCATGATCATGCGCGTTGGTGATGGTCGTTCCATCTCGATTTGGGACGACAAGTGGATCGCAGGTACCATAAGTATGTCCTCTATGTTCAGACCTACTAATATATCTCTACAATCAGTGGATGAGCTTATTGATAATGGTAACTGGACATGGAAAACAGAACTTGTTCGTGAAACATTCCTAGCCCCGGATGCGGAACCTATATTGAATTTATCAATCTGCATTGGTGGTGGGGATGATTTCTTTGCTTGGGCTTCTGAAAATTCAGGTGTGTACTCTGTCAAGTCGGCGTATGATGCTCTTGTGAATCAAAAAGAGAGTG